ATTGAGTAACGTAACGGAATACGTTACAGAATACATTTTGGGGCATGTATTCTGTAATCTGTAATGGAATACATTTTAAAAGTAACCTTCCCAACACTGCATAAGACTGCACATACACAAATGAGCCACAACATTAAAAGCACTGCTGGGTGAATCACTTGTTACAATCCAGTGTGCATTAAGAAGACCTCCTAACTTTGAGCCTGTTCAAATGGACTTGTTAAAAATTTGAACCACTACCCAGTTGTGATGAATGGGGAAACTATCATTAGAGACCAGAGAGCATTTTTCTGTGTGTAAGACTGTAAACGTCTGTATGTCTACTGTGAAGTTGGCTATTTTGGGGTCTATTAGGACTGACTTTGGAAGCAGCCTCAAGTGGACGTTAGAGGAACTGCAGCTACCGGCACTCCCACATTACAGGCCTCACCCACAGCCCACAGGACTGTAAGCTGCCTCAGTAGCACAAGAGACACATGCAAAATGAGACAGGTGGTTTTAATAATGTGGCTGATCGTCTATGCCATCATTGTAATCCTTTTTTTTTTTTGAAAATGTAGCATGTACCTGACTGTTTCTGTTCTTTTTAGTGCTTTAGAGAAAATACCATGGAAAAACAACTGTGTGTGTGTGTGTGTGTGTGTGTGTGTGTGTGTGTTTGCGGCTGTCATGAGCGGCTGCTGTGCATCTGTTGAACTCTCCACCTCCTCTTCCTTCCACCTCTCGAGCCTCCTCTACGATCTCTTCTCTCCATCTGTTCTTTCATTTCCATTTCTTCACTGACTTCCTGTCTCATATCCTCCTTCATTTTTCCTCACTTTCTCTCATCTTTTCTGCATTACTTCACTTTCCCTCACTTATCCTTCTTTCCTGCTCTCTCTTTTCAACATGCTTTCTCTCCTCTTCTCATCTTGTTACCACATTTTTCTCATTGCACTTGTGATTCACAGACACCCAAAACTCATCAAGTACCAAAACGATTAGACGTGTGATTCATCACAGAGAAGTTCATTCACTCGGTTCAGGTCATGTTGTCATTGTCTGTTCATGCAGCTGAAAACCTGATTTCATGTAGAGGTTCTGACTCTAGAAAGAGCTAGAGCACCACTAAGTGCTGGTTTCTTGGTGTTATGGGTGAAATCTGGGTTTAAAATGTTCACAATCGAGTTGAAGTCCTAACCTGGATCATCTAGAAGAGATAGAAAAAAGGAGATGAGATGGAGGTCGTGTCTGGTTTCAAAGGGCTCCATAGTTCTGTTTTAGTTTGTATGTGATTGGATCTCGGAAAATAAACAGAGCTGGTTTTCCATAAAGTTTTGGAGTAAAAGGTTTGTGTGTGTAGCTGAAGTCATGTCCGGTAGTCTCTCACTAAAGCTGGCATCTCCACTTTGATTCTCCACGTTTCTCTCAAGGTGACGTTGATTATGGAGTTATAGACTGAAGCGTTTGAGACTTCAGGACGGTTCAAAAAGATAAAACAAAGCAGGACATAACTGGTCTGTTGTGTGTGCATGCAAAAAATCCTCATCTCCACTCGTCTTCATGATCATGTTTTTGTGTGGTAGGGTTTGGGGCGAGGAGCCAAGCAGCCTTTTCCATCTCTGGGCACCTTCATCTCCACGCTCAGCCAGAGGAGGGACATGGCTGGACGTGGACTGGCTGGCGGCATCATGGGCAACTTGACCGGTAACCACGGACTCAGACACGGTGAGTTCAGACACAACTTATTATTATTTCAGCAAACAGAGTGGTTTTGCCCCTTTTCTGACTTTCTTTGCACATCGAAAAAGGAAATTGAATCTAATTTCCCAAAATGCCGTCTCTATCGTCCATTCTGTGTTCGTGCCTTTAGTCCAGGACCAGATTAGAGCTTTGGCTTTCAGGAAATGACACCGGACTCGAGCTAGCATTCGTAAAACATTATGAGTAAAAATAAAAAATAATTTAAAAAACAGTTAAAAAAACCTCCATCCATCTTCTTCCACTTAGCAGGCTCGGGTCGCGTGGGCAGCAGCCTAAGGAGAGAAGCCCAGACCTGCCTTATCGTGGTGGAGAGGTTTGTGTGTCGCAGGGATCCCAGGGGCTTTGCTGTCTGGGGGCTTTTGCCACCTGGCAGGGTCTCCCATGGCAAACTGGTCCAGACAAAGAGCGATTCAGAAGAACCCTATGAGTAGAACACCAAGGGAACAGTTCACCCTTCCTGGGATAGAGTTACCGGGGCCCCGCCCTGGAGTCAGGCCCGGGAAGGGGGCCGAACGCGAGCGTCTGGTGGCTGGGCCTCAGTCCACAGGGCCCGGGCACAGCCCGAAAAGGGGACACGGGCCCATCAGCAGCCAGGAGCGAATTAAAAACTGTTTTGGCAAAATGTGCCTGTTGAAAGAACCTGACTGGAGAAACACTGCTCTGTAAACCCGAACGCTAAAAGGATTTAAATAGGAGAATTATTTGGAGATATTTGTTGCATTCTCCCTTTTTTCCATTATTTTAAGCCATACGCAAAAAAACGTGTAATGTGCATCTATGTTACTGCAAGAATGCTGAAGCGTTCCAGCAGAATTAGACTGTTGAGCTGTGATTGGGAAAACACAGACACACAGACATTCACACTGCACCACTGTGCCAACTGATTCATATTAATGAAAAATATTTGAACTGACATAATAAGAACTTTACCACAGACATCAAACAGAGATCCAGAGATATGACACTCACAAACCCAAACGATGAAGATGGTGTGATGTTGTGAAACAGCTGCTGCTACAAAGTGTTTAAAACCTGATTTAGGGGCAAAGGTGCCAAACCTCTGAAGTGTTGGCATTGATATGAAAGGTTTGGCTTTCTGCTGGCATATTTAGATCGGATTAAGTTTTGAGACTTGCTTCCAGAAGCACTTTAAATATTTGATTACGTGCAATATGCACTACTTTACTGCAAAAAACATTGAAACTCTCAGAGCTTTTAATGTTTAGGTTCTTCACCATAAAAGCAATTGTGAGGCTTCTCTGTGGTTTTAAACGTGTAGATGGAAACACTTTGCCTTTAGCATCTTTAGTCAAATTGAACTTTTTTACTTCTACTTGTGCACCAAGCTTTGCTCCGACTTCCTGTCGTCTGAATCGGCACTGCTTCATTCCAAAGCAGTAAAGCTGCTCAGTGTTTCGTAATATTGTTCGCCGCCTCTTTGCTCTCGTGAAAGCACCGATCCCCGTCCTCGTCTGCGATGTAATGATGTGTTACTTCCTCTGTTTACAGTGTGCTTGATGTATGCACTCACACTCTGTTTATGCTGCCTGCAAATGATGACATCGCTACTCTGAAATGAAAAGCTTTGAAAAGGAAGAAGAGAAAAAGCTGTGCGGCTCTCGCTGTGTGAGAAGATCAGACGCCTTCACTAATAACGAGACACTTACAGACATTTTTAAGGGGTGATTCAGATCTCAGCTGACTCACAGTTGAAGCTCAAGTCATTTAGACTCAAGAGCTGGAAACAACTAATAATTACAAATGGTTTGTTCTCCTGCACGTGAGGCATAAAAACGTGTTTAGATAAGCTTTTTAGTTTCTCTTATTAAATTAGCATCGCAGTTATCAGATTGCGAGCTTTTCTGCGTGGCTTTAATTACTTTTTCATTGTGAGCGTTTCGACGGTAAAGGGGATGCTGCTTCCTGTTAAAGGCGAGGTTGTTTTTAAATGCCGCGTGAGAACAGAGACCCGGCGGAGCACCCACCAGCCCACTTTGTCACCGCGGCTACTGATGCCAGAATAATTATACAAACCTCCGCCCCAAATGAAAACCATATGAAAGTGAAAACCATCAAGACACACACATGAGATATTGTTGCATTCCTCGGGCCCGTTACAGTCGGCCAGCCTGCTGGATAATCACCACAATTTGCTACTTCATCTGTAACGTGTTACGGGTTTTTGTAGAGATTTGTCAAAATAAAAGTGGAGTTTGGTCTCAGAAGGAACGCTGTTCCACTGCAGCATGATATGACTCAATGCAGTAAATATATAAAGTGGCTAAATTGGTTGTACGAAGTGCAAAAGTCTATTTTCTTTGTATGTACTTCCGATGAGCTTTCTCGTCATTTTTTAAAGTGGTCTTGAGTAACAATTCTCGAGGCTTCTGCATCTCTTGTTTGGACTTTGGCTGCTTTTGCACTCGTTTTCAGTCCCGGCCTGGTACGTGATCAGTTTCAGAGAAGTGTCTGTTGAAACAATCAGATATAAAAAGGTAGCTAACTTAACAGACAATATAGCAAAAAATAAATAAAAAACAAATTTTAAATCAAATCTTTAGGAACCGTTTTACTTGTAGCCTCTTGCAAAAATACATCATATGTTCCTGTTTCTTTTGCTAAAAATATGAAACATGTCAAAGATATCACAGTGTGACTGAAACAACATTTTTGCACCAATGCGGTGATTTCCAAAGAACTTTAGCTGCCATGTCTCAGAATCCTTAAAAAAGTTGTGGAAACTATTTTCAATTCAATTCAATTCAATTTTATTTATATAGCAAATCACAACAAAAGTCGCCTCAAGGCGCTTCATAGACACAGAGAAAAACCCAACAATCATATGACCCCCTATGAGCAGCACTTTGGCGACAGTGGGAAGTAAAAACTCCCTTTTAACAGGAAGAAACCTCCAGCAGAACCAGGCTCAGGGAGGGGCGGGGCCATCTGCTGTGATTGGTTGGGGTGAGAGAAGGAAGACAGGATAAAGACATGCTGTGGAAGAGAGGCAGAGATTAATAACAGATATGATTCAGTGCAGAGAGGTCTGTTAACACATAGTGAGTGAGAAAGGTGACTGGAAAGGAAAAACTCAATGCATCATGGGATTTACATGGAAGACCAATGAAGAAGTTTACATATCCACCAAATTGTAATAAACAGTAGTCATGTAGCCACGTGCTCACACATAGAGCAGGTAACCAGCAATCATATTTTGCTGTGACGTGACTGAATAAGAAGCTATCACTGTGCAACTTACCCCACAAACCAGGGTACATGTCAGGTACAAGGTGCACACATCATCTCCAGTCTGATGCTTGCTTTGTTCAGAAAGCTCTGCAGCAATGAAAGCAGGATTTAATGGAAAGCACTTGAAAACACTTTGGGAGGCTCTCTCTCCCCCATCATCAAGAGACATCAGAGTAAACTCTGGAGAAAGAAAGAGAAGGAGGAAAAAGATGAATGTGACTCTTGTGATCAAAAGGTGTCATGACAACGGATGCTTGTTGTTGTCAGCCCTGCGCTCAGTGATGTACGAGCTGACAAAGCAATGATAATTAGGATGTGTGAAGGAGGAAGGTGAGAGACGGGAGTGAAGATGGAAGGTGAGATTTAACAATATGTTCTTCTCCTTATTGCAGCTTTTTATTTCACAGAGGCTGAGAAAATCACAACGAGTGATGAAATCGAAATTTCTATTTGAAATCTACTTCTACACATTTTTTTCACTATTGGATTAATTACTTTTTCTAAAACAATGATTTCTTCATTGTAGCATCTTTCCTCACCCTCAGGACAAAATGCAGACATTTTGCTGTTCTGTTGGTGGATGAGAGGAGTTTTTCTGTGATGTAACACGTGCCCATCTCTGTTCTTGTGTCCCTTTTATCTTCTGCTTGCACAATCCTTCCACTTCTGCAGAATGAGCATCCACAATGCACCTGGACAGGGCTGCGCCTGCCTATTGTTAGTGTTGGGATTGAGGCTAATTATAAAGAGAATGGATGGATGGTCATCAGTGTGGGAGGATAGATGAATGCATGTGTGTTATGCAGCGCAGCCTGGCCTCTGTGATTGCACACTGATTGGGGTTAATAGCTGTTGTTGATTCATTTCTCTGTTTGTGGAGCTCTTTTACTCCCAGCACATATTCCCTACACCTACATGTTCCGAGAAACATTCAAAACAGGCCCAATGTCTGTTTTGCAGTTGTTGTTTTTATTTTCATTTTC